CAACTAACGAACGGAGACGTAACAATATTAACAGTTTCTTGTCATCACCCGCAGACAATCGGTACAGCCGTATCAAGCATCATTATTTATGCTAATTGCTTAAGCTATTATCACGTGACGCTAAACGCTCTTTAATTAGGATAATTTCATAAAATTTAGTGAATTTGTACTCAAAGTTGGCAATGAATAATCATTAATAACCGTCCACTTGTATGATTCTTTTGAAAACTGCTAATCTAGTTTGATTGGCGTAACCAATATTGCACATCATTTCACCCTATAGTTTTGCTGCTCCAAATCAGCCGTCTTTTATCCGAATGACAAAAAATTAGAAACGGTCTACTTTGAGCCTTAGGTGAAGCTGTAGTAAAAGTGTTAGACCAATAGCTCATGTGATTTTTTACGTAGGCGTGCGCAAATGCTTTGGTCAAATTTAAGTGTTTTTTGTTGAATAACTTTACACATGTGGCTTATATTTAATCTATCACTGTACCAAATTTGAAAAAAAAACTAGAAAAGTTAAGTATGTTTTTCTATCAAATAAAGTTTCCGTACTTTTGGTGCAAAGAAAAAAAGAAAATAGGAAGTAACACAATCAAAATCTCAGATATTTCTTAATGGATTGCATTGAAAATTGGTATGTGAAGTAAGAGTCCAGTAAAGCACATCGACTGAAAATATTTGATAGTTGGGATTACCATAGTTTGAGATAAGAAGGTGGAAAATCGCTAAATTATCACTCCTGTTAATAACACACAGTGTGTTCTGCAGCAGATTGTTTTGGCCGCACGACACACTACCGTGTGTCTTGATTTAAACAAAGCTATTTGATTTAATACTGTCTACACTGTGGATACTTGACATTATGTCGTCTGTAAAAGTGGATTGTAGTAATAACATTTATTAAAAACACACTTAGAAGCACATTAATATATATATATATATTGATCAAGTTGCCATTCTTTATAGCAGTTAAACTGTGAGGCAAGGCACAATTATTTTTGTTATTTGAATAAATTACAGTGTAGCCCCGTTATAACGCGATCGTTGAGGTCCATAAAATGTCATCGCGAAACAAACGGGGTCACGCTAAATCGGGGTTCAAGAAAATCACTGTTCAAACTGACCCAATGTTGACCTAACATCCTAAAACACCTCTATTTTCGC